AGTGCAATGCTAGTTTTAGGCTTGTAGAAACAAAGGACATGTCTCCATCCAGAACACAAAKTTCCACAACTTTGCTCAGCAATTTCAGCCTGTGCACAGTTTTCAGCTGGGTTACACACTGCAGAAGGGGCACCTTACATTACAAAAGCAAACTGTGGGGAGCTCAGAAACTCAGGAAAAGTTCAGAGAGCCTGGAAAATGGCCAAAACATGGTCCCAGTGCAACGGTTGAAAGGGAASTTCTGCTCAGCGCTAAAAGAACTGGAAGAAAGGAACCCATTTTTGGCTATTTCTCCTTTCTGCAAGGAAGTAGGATCTTTGTGTATATCCTGAAATATAGCGAGTAAATACAAATTWAAAAAAAAATTCCAAAGATATGTGCCTCCACTGTCAGTTATCCTCACAAGCAAAACAATCTCAAGGCTCTGTGATTATCGGTTTCCTCTATTTAAAAAAAACAACTCAGGTTAGAAAACAAAGGTAGTTTCACATGGAAGCTCTCCCAGGTGAGATGTAGCAAAAAGACACTCCAGTTTATCTCAATGTAATATGACACTAGGGAGGTTTTCACCAAGAAGAGCTTCTTCCGATAGTCTCCAAGCCAGAAATACACTTATAGCGATACCAAATAAAGTTTGTTGGCACATGCCTCCCTGCTTTGCAGTTTGACAGCTTGAGAGATGTGGAAATCACAGGGCAGGCTGGGTGGGAAAGCTTAACCAAATCTATTTTYTTCCAAACAAAGAAAGAATCAAATGCAGTAGGAGCTCTCCTCATTCCCTGTGGCAGGTTCTTCACAGCCAGCAAGTCTTCGGGTCATGCACCAACCTAAATTTAAACCTATTGGTTATCAGAACCTTGAGGAAAAACATCCAAAGTTGAAACCTCTCTCTCAAATTGTAACACTTGAACTTGCAACAGAACCAAGAAATTATTCTTACTTCTCCAAAAGTTGTGACCTAAAAGCAGCAGCAAGACTGAATGGATTAGAAACTTCCAGCAACTCATTTCATGCCAAAGATGCTCTGATCCCGTAATGAGGGGAGCAGTGAACTAAAAAGCCAAACTACCAACAAGATTAATCCACCTGGTTCAAACAAGAGCTCACTATGCACTAATTACCTACATCAAGAGTTTGCCTGGGTGAGGTGGTCCAAGCTCACAAAAATTAGGGAAAGGACAAGCATGTGAAAACCACACTACAAGCAGTAGGTCTTACTGCTTGCTTCTGAYTCATGTTCTGAAGACTTCAGCTCCMCTGTAYTCCAGTACAAACCTGTCCAGTATCATCCCATCAGCAGAAAACCATTACAGGTCAGGAATCAACAGGTGGGACAGACTGTGACTGAATGAAATCAGATACAAAACAAAAGACSTGCAAGAATTAAGTAATTCACACTTGGATTAACAAGCACTTCTGCCTATAAAGCCACACCTTTTGTTTCAAATTGGTTGCTGCGAGAGACCCTGCAAGACTGGAATGAGAAATGGCTATAAATGCAGAAGAGTGAGAACACAGGCAGCCAGCACTGAGGTCCAGCACTGCCTCAGRACACAAAGAGAAGATGCACCAACGTTGCTTTCCTCAAAAGCTGCGATTTGTAGTAAACCAAGAACTACGCTACAAGCAGCAGAGTCATCCCTACAAAATTAAAGAAATCTCAGAGTGACACAATGCATGCTTGGCATCATAACCATCAACTACTGATGGTGAAGAAGTGTGTTTGCATCTTAAAATTGTGCAGAAATCTGACAGTTTACAAAAGAGATCAGAGCAAACTCCAGAGATATTTTTAAGTGACAGCAATGGGTCAGAGGATCACAAGTCTTCTCTTGGGGCTCCCTCTCTATTTTGGGCAGTTTAGAACCAGCATCTTCTCAGAYGTGATGGAGAAGGGCACTTTCACTTCAATTACCTCGAGTTATATCATGAGGTAAATCTGCCTAAGCAGACAACAGAGCAGAAAAACTGTACTGCAATGAGAATCATGTGTYGAGGGTTTTGGGTGGCTTTTTTTCTGACAGCCATATGAAGAGGATCTTGCTTAGCAAGCCCTCTAGCACCTATAGGCCAAGACRGGAAACTCTCTACCTATGAAGATGCATATTAACATCTACAACATCMAACAATCTCTAACCATTTAAACTGCATGCTCACCATTTCAGTCTTTGCTTTTTAAAGCACTTCCCTCCAGCAGTAAYATTACTGGAGATGAGAGAAAAACAYTAAAATAAATTTGTCCCTGTATTTTATTTACAAACTGTCTCCTTCATCCAGACATCTTTCATGCAGATKAATCTCTGTATGAGATCCAGTGTTACAGCTCTATGTTCACTGGATGGCATTCACCRTGCCTTGCTCAGAAGCTGTAAATGGGAATGCCTGAGTCAGCTGTGTATCACAATTTTGGAGCATGTGTTTTAACTCCAGAAAGGACCTCTGCAGGCACTACCCTACTGATTTACTGCAAACAAATTTGTCYCAAGACATGCAATAACTTAAGAGCTCATTCAGTAGAGGGGTTTGTTTTCAGTCAGTGCCCAGGGGACAGGCTGCCTACTCCATAGTTTGCATTACATCTGTTTCCACTTTCAGAGGGGTCAAAGACCAAGTRCAGAACATACCCCCCAGAAAGAACTGCTTACTAATATTGTCAAAACCTGCAGAAAAAAAAAAAAAGGCAACCAAAGCCCACCAACTCACCAACATTTTCTGTTTATATTTTATTTTTGGACTCTTTCATTCAGATATTCCTTAAGAGGATGGATCATTAGCACTGGAAACCTACTTCTGCTACAGCTTTAATTTGCTGAATAGATTTCATTCCATCAAAATACATCCAGCTTCTATACATGATAAGATTTTCAAAACCTAGAAATCCCTGCTCTCTTTGCAATGGACAGAAAAGAAGTAAACAGGAATCTATGAATTCATGTGATTCAGTCAAAAGCTATTTGCTAAACAGAAAACAAACACMAGTTCCTGCTCTTGCTTACCAAGTCAGCTGGTAACAAAAGCCATTTGCATTAGAGCACAGCCCAGGCCATGTGCTTCTCAAACTCAAGCAAGTGTCCCTGAAGAATCTTATCAGCTGTCTCCACATTGGCGTATCTATCTTAGGCAGTAATTCTTTAAACACGCAAAGCCCMTGTTTAACTTGATATTGTGAGAGTAAGTCTAGCGGAACCTGTAGAACTGGGACCTGCATAAAATTGAGTCGTGCAGCCATCAGCAGACTCATGACATTGCATTCCCTTGCTGGCTTCATCACCCAAAATGGGCCCAGTGGAGTCAGGTGTACCCCAGACATTGTCAGCCATGCATTTCAGCCACAACATGTGCCTACTCCAGCCACCTCAGGGGTGGTCATTACAGCCAGAACACATGGACCCTGCCATTTCCACAATGCAAATATCAACTGCTGGCTTATAAACTCCCTTAAAAAACATCATCATAGATGAAGATGTAATTTATGTCTTAGCAATGCCTGATTGCAGCCCATAAAGCTTGAACTGCATCAAAAGCAGCATGGCCAGCAGGTCGAGGGAGGGAATTCTGAGTTTCTACTCTGCTCTGKTGAGACCCCACCTGGAGTCCCATGTCCAGCCTCTCTCCTATGAAGACAGRCTGAGAGAGTTGGGGTTGTTCAGCCAGGAGAAGAGAAGACTCKAGGGAGACCTCACTGTGGCCTTTCAATACCTAAAGGGRGCTTATAAGAAAGAGGGAGTGTAACTTTTAACAGGAAGATAGTGACAGGACAAGAAGAGATTTAGATTAGATGCTMGGAATAAGTTCTTTCACTGTGAGAGTGGTGAGGCACTGGCACAGCTGCTCAAGGAAGCTGTAGATACCTCTTCCCTGAAAGTGTTCAGGGCCAGGTTGGATGGGGTTCTCAGCAACCTGATCATCTCTGCCCACAGCAAGAGGGTTTGGAATGATGATCTTTAAGGTCCCTTCCAAGCCTAACCCTTCTATGATGGGAATAAATGCTCTTTGCCTGCACATGGAGAATTTCAAGATATCACTAAGCATTTCTCACCTGTCAGAATGACCCATCCTTAACCCTTTTAATAAGCTAATCTCTGTTTATCTAATGGAAAAAAAAACCAAGAAACCTTTTTTTACCCACAATGTTCTCCCTTTTTAGTTAGATACAGAAGTTTAAATCTAGATGCTACTGCCAGCAAGACAACACTCTGATGATGTAAAGTTTCATCAAGAGGATTGGTGGTATAGAGGAGTTTTGCTGACACAAAAACACCAGCCCAACCTTTGTAATATGGGTTAGTCCATAGCACTATGGACTATGGGCATCAGTTCAAAAGAGCAGCACAGAAGCAAGACAGACCAACCCTTCCTTATCTCACAGGGTGGGAAAAGGGGTGTGAGAAGACTGAGTCATTTGTGYACAGCTACAGGAGGAACTGGTCAGAGCTAGAAGTGAAAATTCAAATCAAGTCTCTTGAAATCCAGCTCAGCACATAGCAACAAGACAGTCAGCTTTTCCTATGAAAGCATATATGTAGTGAGTGTGTCATTAGAAGCATCTCAGGAACATCCAGAAATACCTCCTGGGATTWATCTTTTCAGATGGAGAGAGGGGAGGAGGAGTGTTCCTACAACATAAATCACATACAAATCAAATTCTTATATTAATACTGACATTCAAAGCATGACATACATTGAGAAATGTGGAAGAGGTAACACAAATGCATGAGGCAGCCTCCTCTCCAGTTAATGGTTTGCTTAATTCTAGACAGAGCACAAATATTTCCCTTCAACCAGCTTGCATTCAGACCACTTCTACTTTTATTTCCTGTTCTTCAGTTTATTCCTGGTTCATGAACAGGAATTAATTTTGTCCTCACCCATCTGCATGTGCTTAGTTCCTGCTGACTTCTGTGGTGTTTCTCCCTACTAATTGACTTGTTTTATAGCAGTTCCAAATCTATCCAGAGAGAGCAAAAGCAAAAATAATGATTTTGAGTATAGAAACTTACCATGCAAACACTTGTAACTGTTTTCTTGCTGTCAGGAATTATTTCGCCCTTAGGGAAAGCAAAAGCCAATAAAAGCCTGGATACAGTAGGACTACAGCTGAAAGCATAGGAAAAAAATGTGTAAAACATTATTGTATGCAACCAGAGAGACATTTCTGGGAGACTCAAAGCATTTTCACAAAGAAGTGGAAGAGTGGAAAGATTTATCCTGCTTTTTATACAGAGAAGCCAAAAAAAAAAAAAAAAAAA